CAATCATAAATTTTACCCGTTTTCAACCATTATTAGCTCACCCTGCGTAGCATGAGAGCTATTGAATTCCTCTTGTCCGTCTGTCTGTCTGTCCGTCTGTTAACGAGTTTTTTTGCATCAATTGGTGCTAATTAAAAATCCCCTTGACCATTATTGGATAAGTTCGGCGCACCATTGGTATCGAATAATCCGTGGCGTAAATGGTGCGAATTAATTGTGCAAGTACATTGAGATAGGACTATAATTATGGAATAAGTAGCACCATTAGTACCGAGCAATTGGTTATTAAAAATGATGCGTAACAATTGGGTCCTTTATTTACCCCCAAAAATCAATGAGGCGTAACAATTGGACCATCTATTTCCCCCCAAAAATCTGTTCTATTTGTTCGATTTTTCTGCACCATTGACGCTAAAATATATAAATTTTATAATAAATAATTGGGAAAAGGATGCCATACGCACCAATGATGCAGAATGTCGGGATAAGGAACCATACAATTTTTTCAAAGTTTTCAAAATTATGTATCCCGTTGGTCGCTAATGTTCCACTAGTGGTGCAAATTATTTTCGTTTTTTTTTAATTTTTCCGTTTATATTACACCATTGGTGCAATAATCTATGAGAGTTATAATCTATTTTGTCGCCTTATTCTGTACCTTTGGTGGAAAGTTATATGGAAATCATTATGACAGGGTGAGCTACTTCTAACGTTACTACGGTTTATTAGTAATTAGATACTAATAACTATTAATGCATATTGTACAACGCATCGAAAATAACGCATTAACTCATAAGAAATTTCAACAATCCCCACCACAGCACAAAATCCGCAACAGATCCCCCAAATTTTCAAGGTAGTGGCAACTCGTGAAGTAAAATCCAACTTTTCCAACGCTCTAACCTTCGGCGCCGTCCAATTAGCATAATACTGAAATAGCTTCTTTGGTCTTGTCCGACTAAACCACTCCTCCCACCACTTATAAATTCCCGAAACCATGAGAAATTTTACCCTGTCAAGCACAAAATTCCTCCTTGGTGTCTGATCAATTTGAATTGCATAGTGCGTAAGAAGAAAATCATCATCTTCTCCCTCCATGAAAAAGATCCCGTCCGAATTATCATTTAAGAATGGAATTATATCCTTAATGTTTTCCTTCTTGTCTAAATACGCCAATTTATCAGCACATCGCGATAAATTCGGATACACGTGGGAAGGCCACTTGTAATGCAAATCTCGCCAAATACGTGTCATATTGGCGTCACCGGATGAAGCTCCTCTCCCAGTTTCCGGGTCGCTGGCTAATATCGTTTTGGCAAACCTTTTGTATCCTAAAAAGCGTGGAAAGTCACCTTTATATTCTGCCGCAAATACTGTATCTGCAGAGAACTCGAAAGAGAAAAACGTGTCGATTGGAGTTCCGTTGGCATACCAGTCATAAAACTGCTTCACGTCTGGTTTTACAGGGATAAAAAATTGAAATCCTTCATCTTGCAGATCGTAAATATGTACCCAGGGAGGACTTCTTTTATACGGGAGGATTACCTCCACAGTGAAAATATTTTTGTAAAAAGAAGTCAATATCATACTACAAAATATCCAAAGCCAAAATGTATATCGAATTTTCAGGGGAACGATTTTCTTAATACTCTTAGACAAAGAGATCTCTAGAATTACAGCAAATGTAACAACAGCCACATCGAAATGTAATAAACTACTATAATCACAAGAACGAATTCTCCAGGTTAACAAAACACTTATCATTGAAAACATAACTGCCATGATAAAAATGCAGATCCAAACATACTTGTTGAACGGGTCCGTAAAAACTTTATATGAGTTCTCTTTCCGAATCCCGTAACAAGATAGGAAACTATAAGATTGACTTCCGATAAGAACAATTTGATGATTACTAGAAGCATATCGGATGCGTGCCTTTCCAAAGTAAATGTGCTTATCTGTTGCATACACTGTCCTTAGAAATGTCATATTGAACAGGGCGTTCGAAAGAATTGTGTAGGAAATAAAATCATCCAGCGATTCCGACTCTTTTGCAACTTCCATCCAATCTGGACTTTGTTTGTGTTGAAAGTATTTCTTCTGTATTTGTAAAAAATTTTCGGTGAAAATGTATGAGAAACGAATATCATCCAGCCACATTACGTAAACCCAGGAATATTTGTTAAACGCCGTGGCAACTTTGTCCGCTGCAGTTTCAATGGAATGATAACATTCCATTCTAAATCTTAAGTTGCACTGGACTTGTGAAAACATTTCAAATTTTGTGAAGGCTGAGGAAGGTAGTGTAGTTCCTTCTCGATAGTACACATTTATATGGTAAAACGTTATGTTACTTTCTAAACCGTGTTTAGCAAAGTAATATTCACGGCTTCCCAGTGAAGTAATGTATAATTTGAGGATCCTGGTACGGATGGTTTTCATTTCTTGGTCTGCCATCTCCTGGTCGGTATGTATTAGCAAAATTATCTGTATGGGATAAGCAGATCCAGTGATGCGTGGAAATATTGGGGAATTTTCTAAGTTATAGAGCAGAAAGTTCACCCCCATATCGGGAAATATATATGTCCAACAAAATTTTTTCAATTCACGGCGACGAATGAATGACACGTTTGTGAAGAGGAAGTCTTTATTTCTGATTGTAATGTTTGGAATTGATAGAAAGTCTTGAACGTAAATTAGCAGGGGATTAAGGGGAGTAAAATCGGTTTGATTTGTGGTGAATGTAACGACGAGGGTACAATGTGAGAAGATATCAAGGACAGATTTAAGTAGACTTAGTGAGGAGTGGGCTTGCCTGGGTGTGAGTAAAAATATAAAGATGGAGAGAAATAAAAATTTACACGGAAACGTTGATAAGGCTGACATGATTTGAAATTTTTGTAATTCGAAATTTGTTGGGCAACGTAATTTTTACGGGAACGCTTAGTGAGTCGAGTTGCGGGTTTATTTGATGTACATAAATATGTATGTTGAGATTCGTACAAAAATATATCCACGTGTGAGTAGCATTTCTAAAGTGTTTTATTCCTTTTGGATGAATCATGTAGTTAGCGATGCCTGGCAATTTTCAAGGATGGAAAACTCCAGGTGACACTTAGTTATTATTTTCGTCGGGTTGATGTCTCTTGAGATATATATGTCACGTTCATTTGGCACACTTTATAGCAGGTGCATATATTTGTAAATACATAGTGCATGTTTAAATTTGATCGATTTTGTTAAGTTGAAACAGTGAAAATATCTGACAGTATTTATGACTGACATTAGAGATTTACCAGCGTATTCTCTCCAGTTTTGACCAAATTGGTGTCAATCCATCACACAAATTTGATATATACGCTGTAAAGCATTCTGAAGAGTCATATACATATGCACTCCGTACTGGTATTGATTTTGTAGTATGTAATTCTCTACCGGATTGGTTATAGTGTCATCCTGAGTGGTACAGATTTCATTATCACCAATTACTACGCCATAACGATCAATGTCACGGGTAGAGTAATATATGTACATATGTACTCCGGCAAGTAATGATTCAATACCAGTTGTCTTTTATAACACTAAATTTCTAAGTGTTTAACTACCAAAGTGAATATTTCCAAAGTAAATACCTTTCTACACTGTAAATAATTTTGCAGAGTCATATTATACGTTACGAAGTTTGGTAAAGGTTTTACAACAGTTGGTAGACTTTTACTACAAATTGGTAACAAATTATTACCAACATGGTTAAGATTTATTACCAAATCTTTACCAAATGTAATGCGCGTTATTACCGTATCTGCAGAGTCATATACGTTACGAATTCGGTACACTCTAAATAAAATCATTACCAAATCATTACCAAAATGCACACGTATATGACTCTGCAGAAACGGTAATAATAACCACCAGCTGGTAAACAAATTGATTGAATCCGAAGTGGTAATAAAGAACACTTTTTGGGATAAAATTAATACCATGATGTATGACAGATGTACTACAATATGTAGTAAAATGTCTACCGCCTGGTAATAAACCATACCACTTTGTACACGGTGTGCTATTCATACCGGTATTAATGCTTTGTTTTAGTATGCCCCATTATTACCAAATGTTGTGCAGATTTCCACCGAAAAGAATAGATTTTTTGCTGTTCTTTAATCTTTCAATCAATTATATTTATTGTAAAATAGTTTTGAAACATACATAATTATAAAATTTAAGTATAATGCAAACTATTGAGTTACAGAAATACACATGTATAAATATTTACATGAAACTCAAATCTGCTCCGATTCCCAACTTAAATTTTTGTTTCACTGAAAAAATAAACGCATAAAATTATTATTAAAGCTTTCCTATTATGATGGTTTTCGATCACCATCTTGATAAGGCGCCTGCATTTGATAATTTGATACTTACCTGTTACCAAAAATTCTATATTTCCAGAATTTCCAGAAGTTTTTATCGTTTTTTTTTCACGGGCAGCACTGGATTAATTTCGTCATGTTGACTTGAGTTGTGCTAAGCGAAAACTAAAACTGACAAATGCGCCACTGTCTCAATGTTTAGCGTCTCACAATTAACACCAAATGTGTTAAAATTCTTACCTCCAGGGTAATAAACTACACCAAAATGTAGATCTCATCAGCACCACAACGGGAAACATTTGTACTACACTTAATGAAAATTATGGTAAAGAGTGTTATCTAAATTTGTAGGATATAATTACCGGCTCGTAGGAGTTTATTACCAAAATTATAAAGATAACTTAGAACATTGCGGTGGAAAGCTAGTTACCCTTTTGGTATTGTTACGGTAATAACCCCGTATAATTTTTGTAGGACGCGTAATTACCAAGAGCTCGGTAAAAACGCTTATTAAGAATTCTTTACCAAGTTGCTAAGAGTGTAATAAATCACAAAAATGTAGGATTAATTAAGGAGGGATGCTGAATTAAAAAATTCCTTAATATGTATGCATCTACATAGTACATAGATAAGGATAAGTGTCATGGTGCACATTCTTTATTATTTTTGCAGACAAACAATTAATGTAATCATCATAAATAGCCTAACGATAAGTGATATAATTTGTTTTACATGAAATCACTTAATTATATATTTGCCGTGTTAGCACAAGATACAAAAATTTCAGATAAAAAAGTGATGATGAAAATGATTTTAATAATCATCGCCAGTCATCCATAAAATCAAAAGTGATATCACAATTACTGCAACAAGAATCATTCCACCATTAATCTTCCAACTTGCGTCGACAGTAATTCGCACGTCGTCGGCCTCTGGCAAAGTTGTTTTTGCTGTGGAGTTAAAATGTACAATTAAATTTCATGAACAAATATGTCGTGATAAATGAATAACAGATGTGCATGTAAGTATGTACTATTTATAGCAAATAAGGCAAAAAAGTTCAACATATTTATTCGTACGACAAGAGATATGCACATACATATTTATGTGAATATGTATTAATGTTGAGTACTAAGAACTTAGGAAATGAACTCATGAAATGCAAAAGATTTATGCAAAAACTAAAAAAGTTTTTGCAATTTTCATAATTATGTTAAAATTACCAAATTCCTTGTCGATTAAGGACAACGCATTTCGCAACCTCTTAATCGTCACGGTATTCCCAATTTTTCCCTGATCTGAAATCCAATTTTCCAGTAATTCCCTGACATATCCGGACCACTGGATCTCCCCGTTTTGATAAGAAATCCGAACTTCTGATAATTTATTACCATTTGTTTTAAGAACTTCTGGTAACATTGTGTAATAATGGGTGATCAAATTTTGGTCAAGCGTCCGGGTAAATCTATTCACCACCTCGGACAAGGGAATGGTACTCATTTTTCAGAATTAATTTTTTTTAATCTTAGTTATTTCGGTGTAACTGATAAAATTAGAGTAATGAGTTGATTCTAAGTATGTGAATATTGTGAGTGTAGTGTGACAATTATTTTGTGTAATTGAACAACCAGCCAAGCCTGCATAATATTTTTGTCCGTTATATGTAGCATCATTCGTCCTGTTATTCGTTGTTATCTTATCTTACCTTGATAAGGGGTTGAGGTTTACTTTGCCCAGCAAATTTCCGGGTACAACGTATCTATTTATGTAGGATTAGTTTACGTGTTGAAGACAAACAGAACTTGTTCAATCAATAATTACATACAGATTTGGTTAAAACGTCGTTCCAGTTTAGTTGTACAAACTAGAAGTTTCTTCCCGACTGGTATTATTATAGTTAAAGTATTCACTTAAATTTGATACACAATCTAAACAATGTGAAGATACATACGTAGATGCATACACATATTTATACATATGTACATAAATCGTCACCCACCGAGTTACTGTGCTGCTCTATTCTTATGTAATGATTACCGAGACGTTTTGTCACAAAAGGGAAATAAATCGAAACGTCGTGTACCAAATTTTTGTACACGTGACTTAGTTATTAACAAACAATTGAAAATTTGTATGTATGTAAATGAGATTTCATGTACATTAAAGCATTAAATTTTTCAATCATGACGTCACGTGTGTTTGGTATACAAGTTTTTGACTTGCTTGCATATTTCCAGTTGGTGACAAAACGTCTTAATCATTACACAAAAATAGCACTAGCACTACAGGATCACGACGGGTTACATCCAAATTATTTAGATTCCAGTTATGTATAGTATACATAATTTATGTTGCTCTAGTTCATAAGATTTTTACAGACCTACAAATTTTCCATGCAAAAATGACATTTTCACCAATGCATACCCTCAAAATAAAAATTTGTAAAATCAACACCGCCGGTGTCAATATATGACTGGTTAAAATGTTGAATCCGAGTTATGATGACTTTGATACCGGTAGTTATAATGTTATGACCGGACGAAAAAATTTCATTGCCACTCGGAATCAAATTGCAACCAAGGCGGTTAAGTCATATAGTGACACCGGCACTAGCGGAACTATAAATATGGGGCCGGTAGGCACAAGGTTGCGGGGGCCCCTGTCCCTGACAGATTTGGCAAGACTTACGAAAATTCATGTAGGAAAATTTTGTTGTTTTTAGGAAAGCATACCCTTAATTCAGTGCAAGGTAATTTTGTGCTGTATGGTTAAACAAACAAAGGTTTAATCTCTTTAGTAAGTGACTGGGGCATCCAAAATCGGAGTTTCTGATTTTGTAAAACCGGTTTTCTATTTAAACGAAAACCGGTTTTACAAGTTTCTAAAAACCCGTTTTTACACATTCGAAAACCGGTTGTAGGTTTTTGATAAAGCGGACTTTTTTGAAGCATATATTTAATGTTTCTTATTGTTGATATAATTCTTCTCATTCTTGATTGTTATATTTGCAAACTTTATAAAATTAGCTGCAAAACCGATTTTAAAAACCGGTTTTACCCAGAATCGAAAACCGGTTTCCCAAGATTTTCCAAAATCGGATTAATAGAAAACTAGTTTTTCAAAATTTTTCGATTTTGGACGCCCTTGGTTGTGACTCCAATCTCAACATTTTAGACTGAAAATTACAAAATAAAATTTCAGAAATGGCAAAATTTTTTAACATAATTTTAATTAGCTTTAATTTTTTGCAGTGTCGCTTGCAACGCTTACCCCTCGTTTCGCCTGTTCACAAATTTTAACAATTCCGGATAGCTACGGGGCCTCAACACCGGCGGTGTTGATTTTACAAATTTTTTCTTTGAGTGTACATAAAATAACAATAATAGCACATTTATATTTAGTGCAAATCGATTATCTGTATTTACGTAGATCTTTTAGCATTTGTTGGTACTCAATAATTGATACGATCATATCGGTAATATTATGAAGTAATGGAAAGGTTTTTAAGTTTGAAACCTTCAATTTTTTATGACATATGTGATCCCCCGTGTGACCAAATGACACTATAAAAATCTGCAATGCCAAGCCAAACATGTTTATAATCTGTAAATCCGCAGGTTAAGAATTATCCACAAATATGAAAGTGATAAATTATTGTTAAATTTCAACCTTAATCCACACACAATTGAATCAAGCTGACAACCGGGTTTACATAATATGACGAATTATTCTGTTGATAGTTCCATTATCTATTATTACCGACCATCTGTCATATCACAGGGTTCGGAAAGAAGATTTTAATTTATGAACTCAATTTTTACGGTGATTTGTTATTTTTTACTTATTGGTTTCGTACAATGGAAATATTTAAATATTTACTAAAAGCCTACAATAAAAATTGTGTTTGTAAAGATTAAAGTAGTCAAAACGTTCAGAGTGGATTTCAAGTCGATCGTACGCAAAATACAGCATCACGTTGGGAACCTTAAGTATTTCCAGGGTTGTGTAACCACAAGCTGCAACGTATGCAAATTTTATCAGTATCAGCCAGCCATCCTTTAGCCTAGGAACAACCTTTGTGCATCTAATTTTAGCCTCAAAATTTTATAAAGCCGTGAAGCTTATACAGGTTTGGTAACATTAATCAAACTGCGTTTGAATAAGAACGTAACATTTAGGAAGAATGAGATTGTTTCTATCCTTCAGCCTCCTTTTGGCCTACGGATCATTGACTCACGGTCAATGGAATACAATCACGAGGTACGCCACGGAAAATGGAGGAACGACGGGTAATTATCGAGACTTTGAGGGAATCATAAATTTGTAGCAGATTGCCGTGAAAATTTATAATTTCTCGCGCAAACATTGAAAAATTCGACCGTATCAACCGTGTTGCAAAAGCGGTAAACCACAAGGAGCCAATTCTTTAGGGGCCATCGTTTCAAACAAAATTTTTCAAACCAACCTCCCAAAATTTTGACCTGACGCTATTGAGAATAATGTTCCGCTTTGAAAAGTAAATTCAATCTATCTTATGTGCGAAGTAAATTATTAAATCCTGCGTTGCGTTAACTTAATAAAGAGGAAAGTTTATGTTTGTGTAGGAGTCACGAAATTTTTGAATGGATTTTTTTAAGTAGTATGGTTTACTAGAATTCGGACTACACTAACTTATCAAAAGGATAATAAGTATTACTGTATTATGATCCATATTCTCTTAAGTGGAACCGCGCTCAATGCCATGTGCATTTCGACCTGGTTAGTAGATATTTATAAAGTCTGTTGTAAATCATTCTTGGCCACTAATACGACTTTCCTCAACAACCCTCCAGTTTGCGATTTTCACTCGGAATTCGAAATGTACTTGCTGATTTTTCGCCATTAACGTTCGAATTTTTCTATCTCTTTCGCGTTGAAACGAAGATTAGAGTCCGTCCTATTCCACAAGGTCGAAAACTTGCCACTTTCTCCAAAATAAAGGACATTTAGGGTTAGGAGAATTATTATTTACGGACATTGTGGATGTACAAATGAGAAAAACTTTATTGTTTTCTAAATGGTGTCAAGCTTTCGATCTCGATTGCGATCATCATCAGGACGGAAAATATTACAAATCAATTATTATTATTCCCAGAGACTTGAAAATTTTAAATCGAAATAATTTATGGTTGTTTGAGAAGTGGAACCATTAGCGACGACCAAATTGGGTTAATTTCCATGCCGGAGTCCTTGTTCATTGCGTTGGGGGTCTTTTGTATGTACAGAGCCTCCATGAATACATTTAGGGGTTTACTGTTTTAGGGGTATCTTTCTCAATGTTAACCGTGGCATGACCAATTAGGAATTTTACAGGGAGTTCAGTTTTTATGCACAAGTTTTGTTGATAATCTAGACTGGCAGGGCTGCCTGCGTGAAAAAATGTGTTTTCCGAAGTCTTTAAGGGATCAGGGTCGATGTAGGTCTCGTCATAAATGATAATAATTTTTAATGACATTTGACGGTAAAATTTTTTGCAACATTTTTTGAAGGTGATTGTCGGTCTTTAACGTACTTGCCAGACTTTGTTTGATTTTTTCTGTAATCCCCTGTTTGTGAACTTTAATGATGCACAACAACCTTTTTTGAAATTTTCGGTTCCAGGAAATTCACAGGATTTTACCCCGAACGACTGGTAGTGAAGAGTTATTTGACGGCGTCAACATTTTTTTGGGTGGCTGTGACGAGTAGTGGCCTCGAATGTTTTTTGAATTTCGCTTTTTGTCATTCTAATACTTCGAAATATAAACATAGATTTTCGTTTTGCAACATACTTCCGTTTTGAAGTGTTACCACGTGATGTTTTAGTCACGTTATGCGACGTTTTTTAGTTAAAAAACCTACAGTGCAGACTCCATATAGCCCGAGTCAGGGACAGAGTCCCTGACTCCTCCAGGGTCACTCTGGTTAAAATTTGCTCACTTTTAGCTTCATATCCTTTCGTGAGAAGCCATTAGGTATCACCGTGCCGGATTTAATGTTTTAAAGTAATTTCTAAAAATCGGTATGGGTCACCCCACAGGGTCGCTCCAGATAAGAATTTTACCAATTCCATGTCATATTCTTCTATTAAGATCCATTAGCAATCTATCTACCAAATTTCAGCTTGGTATGACGATTTTGAAAAATCGGTATGGGTAACCCCGTAGTCCCTCAAGATGAAAATTTTTCCAACTAGAAGTCATTTTTATCTATTAGGAGCCATTAGCAACCTCTGTACCAGATTTCAGCTTTCTACGACAACTTTGAAATTTTGGTGCACGAGACCCCACCCACTCCGATGACCCCCACCGGTCAACCACTTGACCGATTTTGCCCATCTTCGAACTCGTTTCCTAACTTTGTCCAATATGCATATGGTAAAAATTTCAAGTCAATCGGTTCAGCCGTTTTGGCTCTATCGTGCCGGACAGACGGACGGACGGACGGACGGACGGACGGACGGATATGACGGTTCCATAAGCCCTGACTCGGGCTAAAAACTCGATTGTCAAGTTTTTTATTTCCAACCCTATTTCTATCGAATTTCGTCGTTTTAGAAAAAAATGCTTTATACCCCTTGAAGCGCCTGAAGTTGCGTCTCAGAAAATATTAATGCTGAATTTCAGTTTCAACGAACTGCGCAGTATACTTTAAAATAGCGCAGTTCCACTTAAGAGAATATGGATCATAATTACATCAAAATTTTATTTGGAAAGGTGGCCAGGGCGGTGACACTATCTATGTCTCTAACGAGGCCCAACTTGTCGCCGCTGTGACCGGAGACGACCCTCGTATTGTAAAGATCACTTCAAACATCGCGCTCTCCGCGGTAGTTCGGCCAGGGTCGAATAAATCCATTCTGGGTGCCGGTCCAACCGCGGGAGTGACGGGATCCGGTTTCTACATCCGTCGCCAACGTAACGTCATCATCTGCGGGCTTAAAATTTCTTACGCGATCGCGCCCGACGATGGTGTCTCCATCGATGAATCTACTAACGTGTGGGTCGATCATAACGAATTTTTCGCGGATCGAGAACACCGCAAGGATTACTATGACGGACAATTGGACGTTAAACATGCCGCAGATTTTATTACCGTGTCACGGAACAAGTTTCATGACTCTTACAAAACGAGTTTTATCGGACATTCGGACAATAATGCGGACGAGGATACGGGAAAGGTAAAGTCCGTGTCAAATTGAAAGTATCCACATGTTTTCAGCGGAAATATGAGCGCACGTCTTTTCAAGAAATACTTCCTCATTCAAAATTCATTCATTTTAAAACTTCGAGAATATTATTCATACATTAGTAATTTACTTAAATTTATTCACCTCCTTAATTGAATTTCTCAATTTACCATAGGTGTTAACCATGTCGTGGAAATTGAATAATGAATATTAGTATTCATTTATTCTTCACGAACATGAAATGAATAACTTCTTCATTCATTTAAAATTGCGATAAAATTTTTTCACTCGTTCATTTTGTAAATTATTTATCCATTCATTTCTTCATTCTTGATCAATGAATGAAGAAATGAAATGTGAACAGGTATCATGATGTGTAAGATAACGTAAGAATTGGCCTTCAAATTTTAACAATCTCAAACATACATAACTCTGCCCCAATTTCCCCACAGCTCCGCATCACCTACAACAACAACTGGTTCACCGATGTCGGATCCCGCCTTCCTTCCCTGCGTTTCGGAACTGGCCACATTTACAACAATTTGTACGAAAGGGTGGACACTTCCGGGATAAATAGTCGAATGGGGGCACAAGTCTTGGTTGAGAGGAACGTCTTCATCGAAACGGTTGTCCCCCTCACGACAAATCTCGACAGCGCTAGAAGGATTCGCTGTAGAGCGGGAGAACGACTGGGGTGATTCGGAACCCAACATTACGCAAGAAGGATCATTCACGAATCCGCCGTATTCCTATGAGATGGAAGAAGTGGCCCGAGTTGCGACCGTTGTCCGAGCCGGGGCGGGAGCTACGATCAGTTTTCCTTAAAATATGTAAATGAAAATTTGAATTGAGTTTCAAAATTACATGAATAAAAAATGAGTTACGAGCCGAGATATTTTTTAGCGCGCTAAAGTTGCATAACACGCATTATGTTCTCTATGTCGGCAATATTTTTCACTCAGGGGACCTTTGTAAACTTCATAATTCAATTTCGTATTTTTTACACCCTCCCACGCCATTTAACATGTTTCACATAGGCACGATATTATTGGGCCTAGACCACCCACCCAACACTCTTTGCGTTACGAAGTTTACGAAGATCCCCCCAGACAACTAGAGGCGTTCCATGGTTGACATAGCATTACAAGGCTATCTGTTGTCAGCAGTCCTGACTCAGGACCACATAAGATAATAATGAATGATAAGTAATACTGAGGACATGAATTCATCTAATACATATGCTAGGCTGCAAATGCATGACAGTGTTGCCGGTTGAGTGAGCGGGCGGCGAACAGGAAAAAGACAGAGCGAGTGCGATGGGATGCAAATTAGTATTACGAATCATTACGCTGGCATAAAGGACTGAATAAGTTACCCTTACCCTAAAGTTAAGCCTAACGCTTAATTGAATCCCCTTATTCCAAACTGGTTGAAAATAAAATTTAACAACTGCACGTTGGCTCTAGAATCCGGATAGTTCAAAATCCTTTATTTACATAATGCTTAAGGCAATCACATATGTATTGATTCTCACTCATTAACACCGCTTCTTCGAATTACCAATAGTTACTAAATTAATAAAACATTAGACAACAAGGATGGCTCATTTCAATTGGTTTGGGCTTCCTGGTGCCTGGTGACCATGGTGGTGACCTTCCTGGTGACCCAGGGGGTATATTTTTGCAAGAATCAATGTTGTGCATGTGAGCTAGTCTACATAATTAAAGTCTTACATACATTACCCATTTTCAATTATAAGTAATGCATATTCTACAACGCGTCGCAAATAATGCACTTGCTCATAACATACTTCTATTATCCCCACCACAGCAGATAATCCGCAACAGATCCCCCAAATTTTCAAGGTCGTGACAACTCTTGAAGTAAAATCCATCTTTTCCAACGCCATAACTTTCGGTCTCGTCCAATTATCATAATACGGAAATAGCTTCTTTGGTCTTCTCTTGCTAAACCAGTCCTCCCACCGCTTATAAATTCCCGAAACCATGAGAAATTTTACCCTGTCAAGTACAAAGTTCCTCCTTGGTGTTGGATAAATCTGGATTGCATACCACGTAAGAAGGAAATCTTCATCAGCTCCGTCCATGAAAACGATGCCGTCCACATTATCATTTAAGTACGGTATAATATCCTTAATATTTTCATTTTCGTCTAAATACGCCAATTTATCGGCGCATCGCGATAAATTCGGATATACATGGGAAGGCCACTTGTAGTGCAAATTGCGCCTGAAAATCCTCATATCTTTGTTGCTGTTAGAGCGCGTGTCTAACAGTGCCTTTGCAAATCTTTTGTATCCCAACAAGCGTGGCGAGTCCCCTGCGTAGTCTGCTGCAATTGCCATTTCTGGGAAAAATTGAAACGATATGGTGTGGTGAAGAGGGGCTCCGTTGGTGTAGAGGTCGTAATATAGCTTGGAATAAGGTATTATGGGGACAAAGAACTGAAATCCTTGGTCTTGCAGGTCGTAAATGTGGGTCCATAAAGGACTCCTTTTATACGGCAGAATCACTTCCGCTGTGAAAATGGTTTTGTACAAAGAAGTCAACAATACAGCGCAAAATATCCAAATCCAGAATACATAATTTAGTTGTGAAGGAAAAACCTTGTTGATATTTGGGACAGATATTTCAAGAAGGACAGCCACCGAGAGGATACTCGCGTCGACATTCTGCAGCGAGCAGGTTATCATACCTCTTATCGAGGAAAATATCACCACAACGGTAATAATACAGAGCCAAACGTACTTGTCGAACGGATCGATAAATGCTTTGTACGAGTTCTCTTTTTGAATACCGTAGCAAGACAGAAAACTGTAAGACCGACTTCCGGTAAGGACAACTTGATGAATATTGGAATTATATTGACGGGTTTTTGCGTGAAAAACATATTTCCTGTTTCTATCCACTATCCTTGAGACTGACATATTAAATAAGGAATCGGACAGAACGGTGTATGCAACAAAATCGTCGAGAGATTCGGATTGATTTGCTACTTGGATCCAATCCGGGCTCTGTTTAAGATGAAAATATTTCTTCTTCATTTCCATAAATGTTTGGGTGAAAGTGGTTTCAATTTTTCCTAAAATCAGCCAACCATAATAAACCCAGGCAAATTTGTTGTAGGTCATGGCAATTTTGTGTGCTGCGTCTTCGATTGATTGGTAACATTCCATTTTGGATTTTGGGGAGCAATTTATGTCCAATAAAAATTCGAACTTTGCCGAAACTGGGAAATTTCTCGACGTTAATGGACGGTACAGATTTAAGTGGTAAAAGTGCTCAGTACCATTGAATCCCGGTTGAGAAAAGTGGTATTCACGGCTGCCCAAATACATAATTTCTGGGAAGAGAATCTTCTCGCAGATGGTTTGTACTTGGGCAGAATTCGTTTCGGCTGGCACAAGCCAAATAATGTGAATTGGATACGCCGAACCTGGAAGGCGCGGAAATATTGGGGAATGCAATAAGTTGGAGTAGGCAAATTTGACCCCCAAATCTGGAAAGACGCATGTCCAACAAAACTTTGCGGCTTGTCGGCGACGAGTGAATGACACGTTTGTGAAGAGGAATTTCCTGTCGAACGGACCGTATTGAGGTTGAGATGGGAAATTTTCCACGTAAATTAGTAGTGGGTGAAGGGGGGCAAGAAAATCGGTTTGATTTGTGGTGAATGTAACGATGAGTGTACAATGGGAGAAGATGTCGAGGATGGAGGTTAAATGGCTGGGTGCAGGATCAGCTTGACTTGGTGTCAATATAAATACGAGGATGCAAAGGGACAAAGATTTTCGTGGAAAAGTTGACATGACTTCGAGGTTATTTTAAAGTTCGAAATTTATCTGACTATGCATGCGGATTTGGTGACCGGGAAACTGCATGTGTACTTGGTGAAGGGCTTCATTTCGGTTTGGTTTACGTGTTCATATGTAAATATGTATACACTCTAAATAAAAATGAGTATAATTACTCAAGGTTGAGTAAGAAAAAGAGGATAACACAAACCAAATAAACCGTAGTAACGTTAGAAGTAGCTCACCCTGCAATATAAATTAGGATGTATATAATTTTGCACCCATGGTGCCGCATGAGTGCACAAAATAAGTATAAAACTCCAATTAGTTGGTTCCAATGGTGCATTATAATCGGAATATGTAGGTGTAGAATTTTGAGATTTTTTGTATCAATAGTGTAGAATAAGGCGACAAAATTAGGTTCATAATGATTTAGACATAACTTTGCACCAAAGGTGCGGAATAAGCCGACAAAAGAGATCATAATTTTTATATATTCTTGCACCAAGGGTGCAATATAAACGGAAAAATGAAGAAAAGGCCGAATTAGTATGCACCACCTGGGCAGTATGAGAGACCAAGGGGCATATTTAACTTTGAAAACTTTATGTCAAAATTGTAGGATTAGCTTTTCCGGATATTCTGCACTATTGGTGCGTTGTACATCGCTTCCTCCAATTATTTCGCATCATTTTGTGTTATCAATTGTTAGACACCAATGGTGCTATTAATTTATAATAAAATGGACCTGGTACATTTTAATTAGCATCAATTGATGCAAAAAGGTCGTTAAAAGACAGACGGACGGACGGACAAGAGGAATTCAATAGCTCCCGTGCTACGCAGGATGAGCTAATAATAAAACTTACCCAATGTTTACAAAATTTATGAACCCGTTGGGCAAATTTTACACAACTTTTGGACACGTTTTGCACAAAGGGTGGACAAATTTTATGTACCTTCTGGTTGTGTCATCCTCTTTTTTTACCCAACCTTGAATAAATTTTACTCATTTTTATTTAGAGTGAATTGATTGTGTATTTTAGAATTCAGAGTGCATTTTCAAGAGGATTTGCCTGTACAAAATTATAGTTAACTAACATAATATGTTATTTAACCACAATTTTATGAGTGACAATATTATTGTCACTCATTCAGCGACATAGTCAGATACATCCACTCTAAAAATTCCATCAAATTTGTAAAATGCGCTGTCAGTATTACACAGATATGTATGTATACTAGTTCAAGCGCCAAGTGAGCATGACATGCGATATACACCCAGTAAACATTTTATGTATGTCCCAGACGTGGGCCAGTGGTATCCAACATCTCTGGCCGGAGTGCCTTTTTGAAACACGAAAAATGTTGTGCCACAGAGTTGCAAACCGAACTTGAGCCGTAGTTCTATCTAAGTTAACCCAGAGTTGACCCGTACATGATAATCTGACTTGCGCCAGAGTTGGGCCGAACTTATTTTACATGGTTGGCCCAAGTATGGTAAAAGTATGTACCAAGTGCGGCTGAAGTCAGGATGCCAATGATTTCCCAGATACATTTTAGATTACTGAAAATGTTACATTTGTTTATTAAATTCAAATTTTATGCAATTTCACTAATACTTGCAAAATACATTACGTTTACATAAAACTATAAATAACTACGGCACAGGACAACATACATATTCATTTGAGGAAAACGGCATGAAATATACTTTACAAATAATGTTTTCCATCTTAAAATTAGTTTTTGAACAAGCTACTACTTTAACAATTTGAATTTTAAAGTCGCTACTATTAATGGGAAAAGTATATGTACAAGTCGCCAACTGGAGCTAGTCTATACCCGTCAAAGGCACGGTCTTCATGAAATTTATAAATTTGAATCATGTAATATGACTTCACTATATTTGTAATAGTAAACTATTAACTTCTGCTTTTCTTTTCCTGTATCGTGTTGTCCTTGAAGCGTTCATTGTTGATTTGTTCTTGGCCCTGCTGATGATTTATTTTCACGACGTCTTTCCCTGCCGCCGTCCCGGTCCTTGGCGTTGCTGAACCACTTCCTCGCGTCAATTTC